CAACCCTAACCCTAACCCTAACCCTAACCCTAACCCTAACCCTAACCCTAACCCTAACCCTAACCCTAACCCTAACCCTAACCCTAACCCCATGTGCTTTGCTTTCAAGCCGAACTGAAGAAAAAAAAACACCTACCAAGCGTAGGCCCTCAGAGGGAATCGAACCCACGCCTTCTGGCATTACACCCAGTACCACCTTTCAATTGAACCAGACGACCACCATGGTCCACGAGGGCGCATTTGTGGGTTTGTGAGCTTGCTTATATGTGAGTTATATTTGCTGTGTTTCGCAGGAGCGGCGCCGAATCGTGCACAACATCTAGATACAATTCCATTTTCAAATCCAATGCAGGCGGATAGTTCAGACTGAAACACACCCGTACGCGTACTCGGGGCATAAATGTTTCGCGGGCATTATTGCCGACTGCGCTATGCTTTTCGGGGTTGCGCCGTGCGTCTGGATTCTAGAGCGGCTTGGTTATATCGCACAGCTGGCGTCGGCTGGGCGCAGGGAGCGTGCATTGAACGCACCGAATGTAGGGTGGTTTTATTTGTCGACGTGAGGAGGATCGGTATTTTCGGGAGTACTGGTGTAGACTGGTGTGCTAATTGGGTTGAACGTGCGGCTGAACGTGCGTTGGACTTGTAAATTATGGCAGCAGGATTGCCAGAAGACGAAAGGTAAAGAAAACTCCTTGCACAGATAGAGCACTCGTCGACCGACCAATTCGAAGCTCTCGTGAACACAGATCCAGATCACAGAGATAAAGTAGATAGAGATAAGAATAGATTTGCGGGCGTCAGAAGTGCTTGACACAATCGCTCTTGCAGCCCTCGAGCCATGAATAATTTGAGTTTCAGTTTCGGAACGCTCGTCGCTCGTCGCTCGTCGGAGTCTGAGAGGAAACAACAAGGAAGACCATCGAAGTCAGGAGAAAGACATGTGCGTCACCATCCCGGATCATTTCTGTACGTCACTTCCGCAATACCGGAGCTGAGGCCCGGTGGTCCTTGACTCTGCCCATCATCCACTGACTCACTCTCCTGCTACACTTGACTGGGACTACCTATTGTTCTACCAGGCTTGCATTCGGTTGCACGCTGTTCTTCTCACTCTTACTACTTGGCTACACCTACAAACGATATCGAATATCTAATCGGCTTCCATCTATTCTAATCGACGACAGCGCACACAAAACGCATTATACACTACGAAGAAGACGACGCACGACTGCACACCGCCTCGCGCGAATCGCAGTAGTGCCACTCCTGCGACTGCTACGGCCGCAATGCATCTCGGAACACCGTAATGGATGGAGTAGTTGACGCGGGGGTCAACGGCGCTGACTCGGAGGCGAGTTTTGGGCGGGCGCCCCGAGATAACTTGAAGCTGCGGGCGGAGGACCGGCGGAGTAACAGTCGGACTGAGAACCTGAATAAATGCACACTTCAAATGTATACCTTCAGTAAATTCCCAATGCATCTCTCGTCCACCCTCAGTCTCGCACTCCTTTCGCTGGTTCCGTCCTTGCATGCCCTCAATACTTCAACCCATCCGGTTGTAAGCGATGACATCGAATGCCCCTCGGGATATTCGCCCACCTTCGTGCACAACACCTACACGTACAATGGCGCCTTGAAAGAGTTCACCGACATCGCGGGGTCGTTCTTCCACCTTCAGTGGTATGCCGTACGTACCATGTCCCCCTTTCAGTATCCTCGCACGACGTCTGAAACGTTCCCAGCCGAGCGTCACCCATTTTAACACTACCGGGACGGACAACGTCCCTGGAGCGACGCGCGCAGGCTTGTTCGGGGGCACGCCGTTCAACGAGACGCTCACGACGTACGATACGCGCCCAGATGCGCTGTTGTTCACGATACGTGGCAACCTACCGGAAGCCCTTGGGGCTTTTAATATCGTTAGCTCGGTCGAGACCAAGCGCTTCCAGAGCATTTGCAGCGGGAAAGCGACCTACATCGATGTGCTCACGTACCTGTGCTCCGACGACCGGACGGCGGCGTATGATCTCTTCTACAACATCCACACGACGGCATTCCAGAATCTAGCTGTCATTATTGGGACGACGGTGCTTGCGGGAGATTGCCCTGCGTAGCGGTACTCGCTTCGTCTCCACGGTTGCTAAATGAGCCAAAGAACTTCAAAGATGACCAGTTGGCCCACCATCGTCTATTTAGTCTCTTTATTTCTCAAGGCATAGCAAATTTCGATCCTTGGTTCTCATTCGATTTGTGTTTGGAGTATGGTGGTACGTACCTTGAATTAGTTTCGGGGAGTCTCGTAACTTCGTCAACGTAAAAATTGTTCTATCCCTGTGTCTCAGTAAGTTCAATTGAAAAAGGATCTGAACCGTCGACGATAATTACACACCCAATTATCGTATTATTACATTCAAATTGGCACCGGGTGTGACGCGTGACCCGTCGGACCATTTCAACGTTTTGACACTGGCGAAAAATTCGCGTGACACCAGTAATTTTTTTCGATTTTCGACACAAAACTTTGGCTTTTACGTTTGGGAACTCGGACATTCCCCCTTTTAACGGTGCGACCCCGTGTAATTTGCAGATGTAAATATTTCTAAGAAAAGTCAGCCTCAGCGCATCCCCCTGCCATGGAACTACATGTATAAGATATTGAACATGGCGGTAATTCTGACTTGCTCATAGCTTTCGGAAACCCGTCATGCACTTGGAGGGAATCGAACCCACGCTTTCTGAAGGTGCTCATTGATATTGAGCCAGACGACCACCATGGTCCATGAGGGCTTGGATATATCTTTTGTGAGCTTAGGTATGTGCTTTTTTCAAAGAGGCGCGTGAATGTTTCCGGACTTGACTGGATATCACATTCATGTTGGAGAGGAATAGCAAAGCCTTTGTGGTAAAATATCAAGCCAACAAATCTTGAACTAATCCTGAGGTCGTTGACAAAAAAAAAATCTCTTTACCAAATTCCAATTGTACCCTCGGAGGGAATCGAACCCTCGCCATCTGGCAGCAGCTTCATGGCCAAATTAAACCAGACGACCACCATGGTCCACGAGGGCTTAATGGTAGATTTGTGGGCTTAGATAGGCCTGTGTCATTTTGGAGCAGATGTACAGAGTCAATTAGACAGGTTGCGCAAAAAGCCATTGCAGCCATCAGATGGCTTTTTTTGCGTGCGCACACTGATGGCTAATGGCTAATGAAGTCCAACCGATGAGCCAATCTATCTCAGTTCAATGAAGCTAATTGAGAGTGTGTGCTGGTATGCGGCTCAAAAATAAATTATATCCATCCTTGTCCCACAATTTTCTCCAGGAATCAAAATGTTGTCATGTCAAATTGTCTTTTTGGGCTGGCGTTACATTCTAGCCTGTGGATGGTGTATATATGCTGACAAGCACCCAATCTACCCACATTACTATCCAGGCACCGAAGCCATTTTAGCCATTGGCCATCAATTTGTGCACGCAAAAAAAGCCATTTAGTGGTTCAAATGGCTGTTGCGCAACCTGTCTATTGACACAATAATTCAAAATTGACACCAGACGACTACCATGGTCTATGAGGGCTTGGATGTATATTTATGAGCTTGGGTATGTGCTTCTTTTTTTCAAGGGCACAGTGAATATTATTCCTGACTTGACTGGATATGTTGGAAGGAAATCAGCTTGCCGAGTCTTCTGTGAATAAAATCTAACTAAAAATATATATCGGGCCAAAGGATCTTAAACGAATAATCTTGAACTTACTGAAGGAACAAAAATCTTCTTCATGTGGCTAGCCTGATGCCCTCAGTCTATATTTCAGCACCAATTGAACCAGACGACCACCATGGTCTACGAGGGCTGATCGGTATCTTTGGGTGCTTGTTATATGTGCGTTGTTTACCAGTGACCGCAGTGAATACTTTCCATGCAAAATTGAGAAATCAGCTCACAGAACAAACTGTGCTTGATATATGCGGAATGCGGCAGACCATGCATTTTTCTACATGCATAGAATTTTTAAAAAAAATGACTTGTCAGTGGTCACAACCACGCTCTCGGAGGGAATCGAACCCACATCTTCTGGTCGGCTTACATCAATTCTTCCCAATTGAACCAGATGACCACCACGGTCCACAAGGGCTGATTGGTACGTTTGTGAAGCTGGGTATATGTGCTCTTTTTCATGCCATGAACACAATATTTACGGATTGAAAAAAGAAACGACACAAATGTCCTACCTAACGTCTTACCACCATGCCGATTTTTGGAACTCGCCCGATCGAACTCGCTCCGGACTGGGAACACCCAGCATTGCTCAAGAATGCCGGCCCAATGGCCGCTGCAACGTGTTGCCCCTGCAAGCGAGCCCCAGGTCCGAAAATACTTGAACTATGCGCAAAACGCAGATTCTGGAACACGCTTGCGGAATCGCATTTTTCCCGCCCAAAAATCGCTGAACTCAATGACGGAAGCGTCTCGAACGGCCTGATGTGCCCCGAAATACGCTCTCCCAACGAGAGCTCCCTCTACAATGCGATTTCATGCCTGCCGCACCCAATACTCGCACCTGTCGCCTACGCGCAGTTCCAGCGGCCATCCGGACCCAAGCAGGTGTCACAAACCCTGCGGTCCTCCTAACAGCCAATAGCCCGCAACCGGGCCCAGTAGATCTCTCCGCCATCTTGGAGGGTGCTTTTTCGCCAGCAGCCCTGCCAGCGCATCGTTAATTCGGATCCATCGGGTCTCAAACCGACTTGACCCGGGCTACCAAATGGAGTCCGATCGTGATCGAGGAGGCTGTGCGTTCCACCTGATTCTTCGCGCTGACTTTGCTAGCTCGTTTTCTGGTGGTTCTGCAGCACCGACGCGCTTGAGACCGAGTCTAGAAACAGGAAAAATATTTCAAATAGGCGCAAAACGCGTATTTTTGGGACACGCAATCGCAACTTTCCCCCAGAAGTCGCTGACGGAAGCGTCGCAGTAGTCCTGCCGTGCTCCGAATTCCGATCCTGCAACGAGATTTCGTACCTCAAAGTGATTTCATACCCGCCGTGCCCAACCCGTGTACCTGCCGCCAACGCACACTCTCAATAGCCATCCGGGACTAAAACAGGTGCCACAAACCCTGCTGTCCTTCGAACAACCTATATCCCCAAATCGGGTTGGATGGACTCGCCATCGTCGCGGGGGGCCTTCTTTCGCCAGCGCGCTCTTGCCAGCGCATCGTCAATTCGGATCGGCCGGGCATCAAGCCGGGATATCAAATCGAGCCTGAACGTGTGTACGCGCGCGGCGATATCTTGCGCAACCGCTGTCGTCCAGTTCTGGAGGGTGTCGCTACCGACGTTCCCGTATTTCCGACGTGAAGTTGCGTGCTTAAGCTTGCGCAAAATTTCCTACCGAGAACATGCCCGCAACTGCGCTGCGCACACAAGCTAGTCGGCACCATGAACCTGGCATTTGATAGTTGTTTCAATTTTTAATTGGGCATAATCCTCCTGAATGGATAACCACCAACCTGGCCTCGCTGTGCACTTCGCACCGAATTAATGATCTGGAATAATATTGGCACCCAGTTTCTTACTGGTGTGATCCATCCTCATGTCGTCCTTTGAGCCCATTAACTATCGAGGACGGAACCGTCGCAGCGGACTCTGACTGAAACAGCATGTGTGCTCAACGCAACTTTGCTCAGTTATTTATACTCCTTTCTCAGGCCACGAGACTGGTTTATTGTCAGCAGTGGACCTTCTTCGGAAGTCGAACACGTTGATTTGTGGTCACGCATGCACTCTGCAAAGGGACGACATACGACAGCTCGCTGTGTACTGGTGGACACCGGGGATTTTTACCTGGGAGGAGGGAACTCCTCCCGTACACTTGCGCACTCCGCTTGTGGTCAGGTCCCACAGGGTTCTAACCGGAAGTCCAGCCATTTAAGTGGCCGGCCAGTCACTGTTAGCCAGCGTCTTGTATTGATCTCCCCCCTGGAATGGTGTTGTGCTCGGTTTGCATCTTGTAGATTACTAGAAGGATAACCACCCCGATAGTTCTACATGTTTGTATTCCGTAAACTCGTTGTTGATGTTGTGGACCACGCGAGTATAATAAGTCCCCCCCCCCCCCCCCCCCCCAAATATATGCCCTCGGAGGGAGTCGAGCCCACGCCTTCTGGCGTCACTTCTTTCCGCTTACAACTAGACCAGATGACCACCATGGTCCACGAGGGCTTATTAGTATCTTTGGGAATTTGGTGATGTGCCTTGCCTTCCCGCCGTTTTACTGGAGCCAACAAAAAGACAGAGGTTCGCCGATTTTATGCCCTTGGAGGGAGTCGAACCCACGCCTTCTGGTCGTGCCATCCTTAACGGCCTAATTGAACCAGACGACCACCATGGGCCACAAGGGCTTATATCTATCTTTATGAACCTATTAATTATACCTGTGTTGTTTCGCCGTGTATCTACACTGGAGAGAGACCATCTTGTATTTATGCTGAAGAGATATTATATTGCACTTGTGCCGAAGAGAAATCGCGGCTCCTCTGATGAATCTGCAAAAAAATGTATATTCGCAGGTTGCACCAACCGGGAGCTTGAGGGGAAACAAAAAAGAAAACGGTTGATGAACCAGCATATGTCCTCAGAGGCAATCGAACCCACATCTTCTGGTCTAAAGTTGCGCCGTGCCGAACTTGATACAGATGACCACCATGATCCACAAGGGCTTATTTGAACGTTTGTGAAACTGGGTAGATGTGCTTTTTTTTATGCCATGAACATAATATTTAGTCGAGCAGGGAAAAAAAGTCTTTTTCTTCACCATTCCCTCGGAGGGAATCGAACCCTCGCCTTCTGGCGTCACTTCCTCTCTATTCTAATTGAACCAGACGACCACCATGGGCCACGAAGGCTTATCTGTGGGTTTGTGAGCTTGTTTATATGTGAGTTATATTTGCTGTGTTTCGCAGGAGCGGCGCGGAATCGTGCACAACATCTGGATACAGTCTCATTTACAAATCCTTGCGGGGCGTGCTGAAGCAAATGCAGGCGGATCTGAAACACAACGGTACTCGGGGCACAAATGTTTCGCGGGCATTCCTGCCAACCGCGCTATCCTCTTCGGGGTTGCGCCGTGCGTCTGGATTCTAGAGCGGGGTGGGCGGCTTCGTTATATCGCACAGCGGGGCGGAAGGGGCGAAGATTGAACGCACCGAATGTAGCGTGCTTCTGAGGAGGATCAGTATTTTCGGGAGTATTGGTGTGCTCATTGGGCTGAACGTGCGTGCGTTGGACTTGTAAATCATGGCAGCGAGATTGCCAGAAGACGAATGGTAAAGAAGACGCTGTGCGTGGATAGAGCGCTCGTTGCGGTACCGATGGATTTCGAAGTTCTTGTGAACGCAGATTCAGATCACAGAGATACAGCCGTTTGCATAAAGGTGTGAAAACACGATTTTGTTTTCAGCAATCACGTGGCCGATGCCGATCAATGCCGCCCTTCGGGATTGAGCCGGGATGCCCCAAACACTCCGTAATCCTGGTCATCAGTCCTCAGTTGCATGATTATCGGGTGTTAAAATTGGTCTTTGCTAGGTTCAGAGGTCCGGCATCAGTCGGCATCAGCCACGTGATCGCAGAAAACAAAATCGCGTTTTCACACCTTTATGCAAACGGCGGTAAATAGATAGAGATAAGAATAGATTTGCGGGCGACGTCACAGATACGGTGCTTGGCACAATTTTTAAATTTCTTGCAGCCCTCGAGCCATGAATATCCGTGGTATTTGACCCAGTCACTAGCAGGAGACGAAGGCGTTCTGCGCGCGCCCACGGAGAACGTCATGAAAGACACGTGTGTCGCCGGATCATTTCAGTACGTCACCTCCCCAATTTCGGACCTTAGGGCCGGTGGACCTTGACTCTGCCCACCATCGACTGACTCACTCTCCTGCTACACTTGACTGGACTACTTATTGTTATACCAGGCTTGCATTCATTTGCACGCTGTTCTTCCTTCCCTCTTTGCAATTACTACCTACTTTCGACAAGGCTACTATCGACGTAGTGATGC